TGTAGGCATTGTGCGAATATCGCGCACTCTGAGGATGGGAAGGAACTCTAGCACGAACTCTACACAACACCCACGGAACATGCAATTGAAAAGCAATGTATAAACGGCGTTATTTTGCGTGTGAAATAAACATTTACATGTATAAATACACTATCGTGACGTTATCTTGAGATGATATCGGGGCTTTTTAGTGTCCCCGCAGCCCGGTCCTCGACCAGGCTTCCACCCCCCAGGAAGCAGCCTGTGACAGCTAACTAACACCCAGGTACCTATTTTACTGCTAGGTAACAGGGGCATAGGGTGAAAGAAACTCTGCCCATTGTTTCTCGCCGGCGCCTGGGCTCGAACCCAGGACCACAAGATCACAAGTCTAGAGTGCTGTCCGCTCGGCCGACCGGCTCCCGGGAGCCGCTCCCACTAAGCCCTTGTATCTTGTTAAAACTCTATACTGAGAAATGCGGAGTGAGAAAGAAGACCTATTGACTGGCTCTCTATCCTCTTAGAACTCTTAACAGGTTAAGTGCATATAGCTGAGTACACTTACTGGAAAGGGAAACTCAGAGTGTATAAACACGATTAGCTAAGTACAACTAGATGAGTAATAAGTAATGGTTAGAAAGTATAAGTGGAACTCTATAGACAAACAGCTGAGTGAAAGTAGGTTAGAACGCATGCTGGAATAACAAGAAATACTACTACGGGCTCACCATAGCCCGTGCTACTTGGAACTGCTTCTTCCAAGTAGCGAATCTTTAACAACAACAACAACAAGAAATACTAAAGAGAGGTGATTAACTACCTTTTGTCGTTACCTTTGTTCTTAAGGTCTTATTCCTATTACTATTCCCTTTACTACCTTTCGTACCTTTTGCCTTGCTGTTGCTTCCTCGAAGATTTTCTTCTCCTCACCTCTTTCTTGGCTATTTATTGCTTTCGCCTCCTTCTCTCATCCACGGGAGACATCTCCCGTCACGCAGGGTGCAGTCGCACCTCCACAGATCTCCAGTATCAGCTGATACTGGTAATGGCTCAAAAGGGCCACCACTTACGGGCTATTCATGCCCGTGCCACCTTTTGGGTGGCTTAATCTTCATCAATCAATCAATCTTCCCTCATCACAATCGACTTGAGAATGGTCCAGGACGGACCGGAACGTCGTCGTCTCTTCACTTTCTAGCGTGTGGTTTGGTCATCAAGAAATACTATGCAATACTTTTTTTTGCTTAGAACTGGTTGGAATAGCCGGATATGACTGGAACCCGAGAGCTAAAGCACACACACATAGTCGAGGACACTTGCACGACTAGCTGTGTACACACAGGTGTCTACACAGACGCAGCGCTTGTTCTGCTCAATCGTTAATTGCTAGTTACCTCTAACCTCCCATAGTCGTAATGGCTTGGCGCTTTCCCCCTGATAGTTCCCTTCCCTTCCCCCACTCCCACACCCTCTCCCCCTGGAGCCGCGAGACTCATAAGTAACATTCATTCCCCTTTTCCACCTATTCCTACCCCTTATTCCTACTCCCCCTTACTCCACCCCCCACTCCCCATTCCCACCCTTATTACAATTCCTGAAATTCCTAAAATTTCCATTACCAGATTCCTAGAATTCCCGTTCCCAGATTCCTAGGATTTGCGTTCTCAGATTCCTTGAATTCCTGTTCCCAGATTCCTAGAATTCCTGTTCCCAGATTCCCGATTCCCATTCCCAGATTCCTGATTCCCATTCCCAGATTCCTGATTCCTATTCCCAGATTCCCGATTCCCTTTACCAGATTCCCGATTCCCATTCCCAGATTCCTGATTCCCGTTCCCAGATTCCTGATTCCCATTCCCAGATTCCTGTTTCCCATTCCCAGATTCCCGATTCCCATTCCCAGATTCCCATTCTCAGATTCCCGATTTCCGTTTCCAGATTCCCAATTCCCATTCCAAGATTCCTGATTCTCGTTCCCAGATTCCGGATTCCCATTCCCAGATTCCCGATTCCCATTCCCAGATTCCAAACTCCCATTCCCAGGTTCCTGATTCCCGTTCCCAGACTCCCGTTCCCAGATTCCCGATTCCCATTCCCAGATTCCTGATTCCCATTCTCAGATTCCTGATTCCCATTTCCACTCAATCTTTAAATCCAAAAAAGGGGATCCTTCCCATGTCTCAGGAAGACAAACAGTGGCCAAGATATATATCCTTTATATCTATATAAATATATAGATATAATAGATATATATATAGTCTATATATCCTTTCAGAAGAGGCGACGAGGCAATAATAATAATAATGATAAATAATATGTAAGATTCCATGCAGCTGGGCTGCAGGAGACTCGAACCGTGACCCCGGTTGTGAGACCGAAGGATATATACATGTTAAGGGAATGTTTATTACAACGGAAGTGTGGATGATTATTTTGTTAAAAATATTAGAGTTCAAAAGGGGTGATGCAGAGCAATGAGACTCGCGTCCGTGTGTGGTCCAGCGGTCCGTGTCTGGTCCAGCGGTCCTTGTATAGTCCAGCGGTCCATGTGTGGTCCAGCGGTCCGTGTGTGGTTCAGTGGTCCGTGTGTGGTCCAGCGGTCCGTGTGTGGTTCAGTGGTCCGTGTGTGGTCCAGCGGTCCGTGTGTGGTCCAGCGGTCCGTGTGTGGTCCAGCGGTCCGTGTGTGGTTCAGTGGTCCGTGTGTGGTCCAGCGGTCCGTGTGTGGTCCAGCGGTCCGTGTGTGGTCCAGCGGTCCGTGTGTGGTCCAGCGGTCCGTGTGTGGTCCAGCGGTCCGTGTGTGGTCCAGCGTTCCGTGTGTAGTCCAGAAGGACAGTGCCAGTACTGCCACACAACCTGGGGAGGACAGTGCCAGTACTGCCACACAACCTGGGGGAGGACAGTGCCAGTACTGCCACACAACCTGGGGGAGGACAGTGCCAGTACTGCCACACAACCTGGGGGAGGACAGTGCCAGTACTGCCTCACAACCTGGGGAGGACAGTGCCAGTACTGCCACACAACCTGGGGGAGGACAGTGCCAGTACTGCCACACAACCTGGGGGAGGACAGTGCCAGTACTGCCACACAACCTGGGGGTGAACAGTGCCAGAACTGCCACACAACCTGGGGGAGGACAGTGCCAGTACTGCCACAACCTGGGGGAGGACAGTGCCAGTACTGCCTCACAACCTGGGGAGGACAGTGCCAGTACTGCCACACAACCTGGGGGAGGACAGTGCCAGTACTGCCTCACAACCTGGGGGAGGACAGTGCCAGTACTGCCTCACAACCTGGAGGAGGACAGTGCCAGTACTGCCACACAACCAGGGTGAGGACAGTGCCAGTACTGCCTCACAACCTGGGGGAGGACAGTGCCAGTACTGCCTCACAACCTGGGGGAGGACAGTGCCCACTGAGTCCAAGAAAATGAAATATCAGGGGAAAGCTGCCCAAGCCATTACGACTATATAGCACTGGGAAGGGGTCAGGATAAGGATTTGGGATGGGACGGGGGGAAAGGAATGGTGCCCAACCACTTTTGGACGGTCGGGGATTGAACGCCGACCTGCATGAAGCGAGACTCGCTCTACCGTCCACCCCAAGTGGTTGGACGGTACAAGTATAAACGTACTTGTATTGTGAACAAGTAAGCAGTTGATATTTGATTTACTTTCAGAATGCGTTTGACAGCTGATTGGACACCGCTCGGGATTCGTAATCCTGAGGACCCGGGTTCGATCCCCGGTGAAGGCGGAAACATATGGGCCGAGTTACTTTCACCCTGATGCACCTGTTCACCTAGCACTAAAATAGGTACCTGGGAGTTAGACAGCTGCTACGGGCAGCTTCCTGGGGGATGTGTAACAAAAATGAGGCCTGGTCGAGGACGGAGCCGCAGTGAAGCCCCGAAATCATCTCAAGATACACAGACTCACCGCTGGGATGCTGTTGATGATCTGCGAAAAGCCCCGAAATCATCTCAAGATAACCTCAAGATAACTTGACTCACCGCTGGGATGCTGTTGATGATCTGCGAAAAGCCCCGAAATCATCTCAAGATAACCTCAAGATAACCAGACTCACCGCTGGGATGCCTTTGATGATCTGCGAAAAGCCCCGAAATCATCTCAAGATAACCTCAAGATAACCAGACTCACCGCTGGGATGCCTTTGATGATCTGCGAAAAGCCCCGAAATCATCTCAAGATAACCTCAAGATAACCAGACTCACCGCTGGGATGCCTTTGATGATCTGTGAAAAGCCCCGAAATCATCTCAAGATAACCTCAAGATAACCAGACTCACCGCTGGGATGCCTTTGATGATCTGCGAAAAGCCCCGAAATCATCTCAAGATAACCTCAAGATAACCAGACTCACCACTGGGATGCCTTTGATGATCTGCGAAAAGCCCCGAAATCATCTCAAGATAACCTCAAGATAACCAGACTCACCACTGGGATGCCTTTGATGATCTGCGAAAAGACCCGAAATCATCTCAAGATAACCAGACTCACCGCTGGGATGCCGCTGATGATCTGCGAAAAGCCCCGAAATCATCTCAAGATAACCAGACTCACCGCTGGGATGCCTTTGATGATCTGCGAAAAGCCCCGAAATCATCTCAAGATAACCAGACTCACCGCTGGGATGCCTTTGATGATCTGAGAAGACAGTATGATGGCATCTTATTTCTCCCTTTCCAAAGCCATTATGTGAAACAAACTACCTCGCTGCATCTTTACCGGCACCTTCGATCTCCATGCCTTCAAGAAGTGTCTCTGGAGATATCTTCCGGCGTAATGGTTGATATTATTTTTCTTGCTCGTTCTGTCTTGCTCAGTTGGGGAGAGTTTTGGGTGATTTACCTGCGTGTTGTTTGAGCGTCTTGCTATATATGCCTTCAACACTCGCAATACACTTCAACACGTAATGCACTTGCAACACCTCCAAATACACTTGCAACACCTGATACACTTGCAACACCTAATACACTTACATCACCTCCTAATACACTTGCAGCACCTAATACACTTGCAACACCTCCAAATACACTTGCAACACCTCCTAATACACTTGCAACACCTAATACACTTGCAACACCTCCAAATACACTTGCAACACCTCCTAATACACTTGCAACACCTCCAAATACACTTGCAACACCTCCTAATACACTTGCAACACCTAATACACTTGCAACACCTCCAAATACACTTGCAACACCTCCTAATACACTTGCAACACCTCCAAATACACTTGCAACACCTGATACACTTGCAACACCTAATACACTTACATCACTTCCTAATACACTTGCAACACCTCCAAATACACTTGCAACACCTCCTAACACACTTGCAACACCTTCAAATACACTTGCAACACCTAAAACACTTACAACACCTCCTAATACACTTGCAACACCTAATACACTTGCAACACCTCCTAATACACTTACAACACCTCCAAATACACTTGCAACACCTTCTAATACACTTGCAACACCTCCAAATACACTTGCAACACCTTCTAATACACTTGCAACACCTCCTAACACACTTGCAACACCTCCTAATACACTTACAACACCTCCAAATACACTTGCAACACCTTCTAATACACTTGCAACACCTAATACACTTACAACACCTCCTAATACACTTGCAACACCTAATACACTTACAACACCTCCTAATACACTTGCAATACCTAATACACTTGCAACACCTCCAAATACACTTGCAACACCTAATACACTTACAACACCTCCTAATACACTTGCAACACCTAATACACTTGCAACACCTTCTAATACACTTGCAACACCTAATGCACTTGCAACACCTAATACACTTACAACACCTCCTAATACACTTGCAACACCTAATACACTTACAACACCTCCTAATACACTTGCAACACCTAATACACTTACAACACCTCCTAATACACTTGCAACACCTAATACACTTGCAACACCTTCTAATACACTTGCAACACCTAATACACTTGCAACACCTAATACACTTACAACACCTCCTAATACACTTGCAACACCTAATACACTTACAACACCTCCAAATACACTTGCAACACCTCCTAATACACTTGCAACACCTCCAAATACACTTGCAACACCTCCTAATACACTTGCAACACCTCCTAATACACTTGCAACACCTAATACATTTGCAACACCTCCTAATACACTTACAACACCTCCAAATACACTTGCAACACCTCCTAATACACTTGCAACACCTCCTGATACACTTGCAACACCTCCTAATACACTTGCAACACCTCCAAATACACTTGCAACACCTCCTAATACACTTGCAACACCTCCAAATACACTTGCAACACCTCCAAACACGCTTGCAACACCTCCTAATACACTTGCAACACCTCCTAATACACTTGCAACACCTCCAAATACACTTGCAACACCTCCAAATACACTTGCAACACCTAATACACTTTCATCATCCTTTAATGTATCTTTATCTCTCCTTCAGTTTCCCTTTATAAAAAGATAACGTCGTTCCCAAAAATCTCCAACGTCACTTTTATTTTTTAAATTTATATATATACATGAGATATTTCATTCTTGTACAGCCACGTATAGCTTTTCGGGCAGGTCCTTAATCCTAATTTTTCCTGGAATACGACCCGCCCAATCGTTTAACAACCGGGTACCCATTTTACTGTTGGGTGAAAAGAGGCGTACAGCTAAGGATTGGCGCCCAGTCAATCCTCCCTATTCACCTTCATCGTCTCTTCAACTATCACCTTCTACTCTTCTTCATTCATATTCAACATTCCTTTATAACACTAGTAATACTTACAGTCACTTTCCCCTAGTAATACAATAGTCACCTTCCCCTTGTAACACACTAAAATCACCTTTAAGATATCATCTATTTCCACTCCATGGCCGCCTTTATCAACATTCAAGGAATCGCTGTTAACTTGCAGTAAGTGCTTTAGCTGTGCTCTGTGGTAGTGCACACAAGCTTAGTTATCCTGTACGATAAGTTATCACCGTTCTAAACTAACACGATATCCCTTAACCTGATGAAACCCATGCCACAAGGGAAAGGATTTCCATGCATTCGTTATCATACCAACGACCTGTTTTGCAAAACAATGCATGTTTCTTGTTGTTATCAAAACATTCATGTATAACTGCATTTGTGCAGCTGCCGAAGACTATTTGAAGGGTTACATGAACAAAAAAAAATTCCCAATCTCACAGGCTGGTTAGTCATACATGGTCATGTATGACTAACAGATTTCATACAGATGTTATACATGTCACCATTAGTCTACACTGGTAAGTGTATGAGGATATGTATTATGAGGATATCGGGAAAGATCATGAGAGTTAATAGAGTTAGTGGAGAGGTCTAAGTACCTCGTACCAACAGGTGTAAAGGGTTTAATGACTGGATATTCTATAATTGATCGTATGAGATCGTATGATTAAGTTTCTGCTCACTGAGATTGTACATCTGGAGTGCTTAGGATTGGGAGATTCGTCACCTGTAGACACCTGCCACAGGTAACGGTGGTAGGTGTGTATATATCTGTCTCCTACAATCTCATCCCGGTAACCACCTTGTTGGGCTATTCGTTGGACGACTTGGGCTGCCCAATATGCTTAGGTTTTCGGTCCTAAACAAATCATAGCTCTTCATACTGGTGCTTTCAGTCTCTATGGAATCAGAAATTTCCCCTTTGTCAGATGTAAGTGCTTGGAACAATTTTGTCTACCACAAAGTATTCAAAGATCGGTTCAAACACTCTACGGTATTCACACGACATATTTGATTACTATCCTATTGAGATGATAAAAACATATACACACACGCATATATACATTTACGCACACATTTAGGCGACGATATAGACAAAGAAACATACCGCTTGACAGGTGTATTGGAGTCTTATAATAAGATAACATAAATTAAACAAGAATGAGGAGGATAAGACAGCTGCGTATTCCTCGGCTGCCAGAAAGCATTTGACATTATCCCTCACAATAGATTCCCTGAAACGAAGAGAAACAGAATGGTGCATCAGGAAGACTCTCAAGGTGAGTAAGGTAGAAACACTCAGGAAGAAGTGAATATAGAGTTGTGAGAGTGAAGAGCGAATATAATTGTACCCCCACATGGGTACAGGACTCATCCTATTTCTAATATACCAACGACCAGATAGGAATATTGGTTTTTCATATCAAAGGTTTACAGACGACGACAAAATTATATCAAGGCAGAAAGTCTGTGAACACTTTATTAACTGATCTGGACATACCATAGACGTGTGAAAGCCGATAGAATTAATCTCAGCCAAATACAATGTTCTGATTATTGTCGTATAACCCGGGCAAATAACTTGTGAATTGAAATGCATGTGAAAGTGAACTTACAAAAACAAACTACACGAGAATCAGAGCAAACTCCGAAAACTGGAAGAAGAATGCTTCCAATATTGTTACATAAAGACAACACCACGTACACGAATACGTGGCATAGAAAGGTAGGAATAAAGAGAGAGAGAGAGAGAGAGAGAGAGAGAGAGAGAGAGAGAGAGAGAGAGAGAGAGAGAGAGAGAGAGAGAGAGAGAGAGAGAGAGAGAGAGAGTGTACGGAACATAACAGAATTGATATCTTACAGATGATTACTCTAAACGGGCACAAATAAATTAGTAGAGAGGCAGAGGAACCATACAAGGATTACATAACCTCTAAAGGCAAGGACCAGCCTGAAATATTATGACCTGCCTCCGTGCTCACACTGAGGCACCGAGGAGCCTCAGGTCAATAAAGATTATCCTTCAAGGTCAATAAAGTGCTCTCACAGCCCATGGATAAAGTGTTGATTGAACACCAATTAACACTTGGAGAGCCTTAGTAAGTAGACTTGCAGGCGATGAGTCACAATAACGTGGCTAAAGTAAGTTGACCAGACCTCACACTAGAAGGTAAAGGGACGTTTCGGTCCAGGACGGACCGAAACGTCGTCGTCCCTTCACCTTCTAGTGTGTGGTCTGGTCAACTAAGTAGATTTGATTTTGTCCAATGATATTCTTTTTCATTGCGATAAATGTCTCACCAAAAACAATTTTGTTTGGCATCAACTAGTTACATCATTCAATACCCACATGTTGAGGGCGACCATTTGTTAAGTGGTTACGTAAATGACTATGTAACAATGGTGAAAGTACCACTGGGATATAGATACTCTCGACTTGGTCTGCGTTGCATAGAGACTCAGCTTCGTTGCTCTAGATGAATGATAAATGAATGATGAATGATGAACAGGCACTCAATGTACCGCATCTGATGGAAATAAATTGAGAGTATCAGTGAAATCCAATAGAGCCCAATCCTTTTGGTCAGTGGGATTAGGGAAAATAAGCTTATGCTGCATGGGCGATCCCTTCACGGTATTGCAAGATTCGAACCCAAGCTGATTTGGGTTCATCACTGCGGCCACCTCGATGCTGACTATGCTTTCCTGGGATCCAAAATGCCGCATCCGAAAAATGAGGTCTAATGAGCTCAGGAACATCGCTACCCTGACAAACGTTGGCAAGACCGAGAAGTCGAGAGAAGAGTTCCTTTGCAACAGAAAGCACTCTGCAAGAGAAGCTACTCTGCAACGGGATGCACTCTGCAAGAGAAGCTACTCTGTAACGGGATGCACTCTGCAAGAGAAGCTACTCTGCAACGGGATGCACTCTGCAAGAGAAGCTACTCTGCAACGGGATGCACTCTGCAAGAGAAGCTACTCTGCAACGGGATGCACTCTGCAAGAGAAGCTACTCTGTAACGGGATGCACTCTGCAAGAGAAGCTACTCTGCAACGGGATGCACTCTGCAAGAGAAGCTACTCTGCAACGGGATGCACTCTGCAAGAGAAGCTACTCTGCAACGGGATGCACTCTGCAAGAGAAGCTACTCTGCAACGGGATGCACTCACCAACAACACGCGTTATGAAACAGCACACACTCTAAAAAAATAAAGTCATTTGCAATAGGAAGCACTGGAATAGGAAGCACTGGAACAGGAAGCACTGGAATAGGAAGCACTGGAATAGGAAGCACTGCAATAGGAAGCACTGCAATAGGAAGCACTGGAATAGGAAGCACTGGAATAGGAAGCACTGCAATAGGAAGCACTGCAATAGGAAGCACTGGAATAGGAAGCACTGCAATAGGAAGCACTGCAATAAGAAGCACTGGAATAGGAAGCACTGGAATAGGAAGCACTGCAATAGGAAGCACTGGAATAGGAAGCACTGGAATAGGAAGCACTGCAATAGGAAGCACTGCAATAGGAAGCACTGCAATAGGAAGCACTGCAATAGGAAGCACTGCAATAGGAAGCACTGGAATAGGAAGCACTGCAATAGGAAGCACTGCAATAGGAAGCACTGGAATAGGAAGCACTGGAATAGGAAGCACTGCAATAGGAAGCACTGCAATAGGAAGCACTGCAATAGGAAGCACTGGAATAGGAAGCACTGGAATAGGAAGCACTGCAATAGGAAGCACTCCGCTACAAGAGGGAGAGAAAGAGAGAGAGACTCTGCAACTCTGCAACATAATTTCTTAGGAAACAGGGAGACAGTATGCAACATGAGACACTCTTTTCAACAGGAGGCATTATCATGCAAGGGACTTAATGAAACAGGAACCAATCTAAAACAGGAGGATCTTGGCAACAATAAGCCTATTGCAACCTATAGTACGTTGCAACAGAAGGCATTCTGCAAGCGCAGACAATCTTAAACATGTTATAAGTGTCACTGATAATACAGCGTCTTGTTCCGAATATTATATGAAAGGAAATAACTTATATAACACACTTCAATCTAAGTATCAAGCAGCAACAAGTTACTATATATAGTATTCAGCACTCCTGACGGCTGAGTAGACAGCGCTCGGGATTCGTAGTCCTGAGGTTCCGGGTTCGATCCCCAGTGGAGGCGGGGATCGAACCTAGCAGTAAATAGGTACCTGGGAGTTAGACAGCTGCTACGGGCTGCTTCCTGGGGGGGGGGGGTGTAACAAAAAAGACCTGGTCGAGGACTGGGCCGCGGGGACGCTAAGCCCCGAAATCATCTCAAGATAACTTGAAGACAACCTCAGGAAAACCTCAAGATAACCTCAAGAAAACCTCAATATAACTTCAAGATAACCTCAGGAAACCCTCAAGATAAACTCAAGATAACCTCAAGATAACCTCAGGAAATCCCTCAAAATAACCTCAAGAAATCCCTCAAAATAACCTCAAGATAACCTCAGGATAACCTCAGGAATACCTCAAAATAACCTCAAGATAACCCCAAGATAACCTCAGGATAACCTGAGGTGCTTCCGGGGCTTAGCGTCCCCGCGGCCCGGTCGTCGACCAGGCCTCCAGGTTGCTAGAATGATCAACCAGGCTGTTGGACGCGGCTGCTCGCAGCCTGACGTATGAGTCACAGCCTGGTTGATTAGGTATGAAGTACCATACGTACTTTATAC